CGGTATTTTTAAAATTAGCGGTCATCAGCGGCTTGTGAGCCGCTGACGACAGCTATTAATTTAAAGGGGACAGTCTGCTGAACAGTTCTACTATAAGCTGATGGTCGCTAAAGCGACCATCAGCTTATAGTAGAACTGTAAATGCCAGGTCCGTACGACGTACTGAGCTGGCCAGCTGGAAGCACTTTTGTAGCTCCGTACGACGTACGTCCTTGGCAGCGAAAGGGTTAAGACATGCATCCAGATTTTTTTTTTAATTACTTACCTGAGCTAGCTAGAATTAGTTCCTGAGGTAGCCCATTCCCCATTTTAACAGCTCTTACTGTAAAGAAGCATTTCTGTATGTAAAGGTTAACCCTCTTTTCCTCCAGACACAAAGAGTGCCTCCTTGTCCAGTTGAAGTAAACAGACAGTGGTGATATGTTCTTATCTCAAAAGGAGGCACAATATCTATGCTGAATTCCCCTACACAAAGCATTTTACTGATATTATATTAATATGTTAGACCAAATCCTGGCACAGCTGTTTTTATTTTTTTACTATGGGAACAATTATACAGAGAGCTTATTATAACACAATATGAAAGAATATAAAATACACAAAAAAATTGAAGTAATCAATTATTTTAGAAACTACAATACCAACAATGGATCAGTTCATTTTAGTACACAATTACATTTTTGGGGAGAAGGAAAGAGCAGCTATGACCTCAAACACATTTTATTTATTTTATTACTTTAATTCTCACATACATACTGAGCTCTGTAAGCTTTGCTGAAAGCTGCAGATATTAATCTCTAATTCCCGCTGCATCTGAGCAATGTCTATGGACAGCATCAGTTCCCGTGTTGTTTCTCTGCCCCCCTAATTCTGCGGTGCCAGTCACAAAACACAGCACAAACATCATTCCTGTGTTGTGCTTTGTAAATGGCACAACAGAGTGAGGGGGGGCGGAGGCACAACATTGGAACTGGTGTTGTTCACACGTAGATACTGCTCAGATGCAGCAGGGATTCAGAAGTCTGGCTACCCACTGTACAGTCCTGGCCAAAAGTTTTGAGAATGACACAAGTTTCAATTTTCACAAAGTCTGCTGCTTCAGTTTGTATGATGGAAATTTGCATATACTCCAGAATGTTATGAAGAGTGATCAGATCAATTGAAATTGATTACAAAGTCCCTCTTTGCCATGAAAATGAACTTAATCCCCCCACAACAATTTCCACTGCATTTCAGCCCTGCCACAAAAGAACCAGCTGACATCATGTCAGTGATTCTCTCGTTAACACAGTTGTCAGTGTTGATGAGGACAAGGCTGGAGACCACTATGTCATGCTGATTGCGTTAGAATAACAGACTGGAAGCTTTAAAAGGAGGGTGGTGCTTGAAATCTTTGTTCTTCCTCTGTTAACCATGGTTATGTGCAAGGAAACACGTGCAGTCATCATTGCTTTGCACAAAAAGGTATTCACAGGCAAGGATATTGCTGCTACTAAGATTGCACCTAAATCAACCATTTATCGCATCATAAAGAACTTCGAGGACACAGGTTCAATTGTTGTGAAGAAGGCTTCAGGGTGCCCAAGAAAGTCCAGCAAGAAAAGTTTGGTGACAAACAATGCTTTTTCCAGCATGATGGAGCACCTTGCCATAAGGCAAAAATTATAACTTAGGGGCTTGAGGGACAAAACATCGAAATTTTGGGTCCAAGGCCAGGAAACTCCCCAGACCTTAATCCCATTGAGAACTTGTCGTCAATCCTCAAGAGGCGGGGGAACAAACCACCCCCCCCCCCCGATTCTGACAAAATCCAAGCAT